TATGGATGAAGTTTTTCTAAGAAGGATAGATGGTGATATTGAAGGACAAATCTATTAAAGTTCAAACTTGTATGAAGAAAAGAAAGTGGATAGAATAATTTATCATCAAAAGCAAATAAATTAGTTTTAGTAAAACCAATTGTTAACTCATTACAAGGATGAAATGGAGTTAATTAAGTCGGCAGATCATCGAAACAATACTAGCGGAATTACGGAAGATGTTAGATGACTTCTCGGATGTGTTTGAAGAACCAAAAGGATTGCCTCCCAAAAGAGATCATGATCATAAAATTGTTTTAAAGGTAGGATCCGAGCCAATCGGTATGAAACCTTATTGATACCCATCTATTAAAAAAGATGTCATAGAGAAGATGGTGCAGGAGACGTTAGAAATTGGAATTACTCATGCCAGTAACAATCATTTTTCTTCTCCAGTGGTTTTGGTAAAAAGAAGGATGGATCTTGAATGATGTGTGTTGATTATAGAAGAGTGAATCGGCTTACCATTATAGATCAATTTCGTATTTCGGTTATTGAAGAATTTCTTAAGGAATTGCATGGATCCGTGATGTTTTCAAAACTGGATTTAAGAGCAAGATATCACCAAATTAGACTATTTGAACTTGACATATACAAAACTGCTTTCAAAACTCATAATGGTCATTATGAGTATCTTGTCATGCCATTTGGTCTTACCAATGCTCTTAGTACTTTTAAGATTCTTATGAATCACATTTTTCAACCGTTTTTTATAAAAATTTGTTTTGGTTTTCTTTGATGATATCCTTGTTTACGAGTAAAACTTTAAAGATCATGAAGACCATTTAAGAAAAACTCACTTTCTTCTTCGACAAAATGTTTTGTTTGTAAAGCGATCCAAGTGCACTTTTGGCACTCTAAAATGGAATATCTTGGCCACTTCATCTCTGCTACATGAGTTCAAACTGATGATAAAAAAATTATAGCTTCAAGCTTGGTCTCTATCTAAGAATCTTAAACAATTGCATGGATTTTTAGGATTAGTAGGTTATTATAGAAGGTTTGTTCAAAGGTATGGCAAGCTGGCCAAACCATGAACCGATTTATTGAAGAAGGATGCTTTCTGCTAGAACTCTTATGCTTCGAGATTGTATTTCAGCAATTAAAAGAAGCTCGTGATCAACACTCCTGTGCTAACATTACCTAATATGGCCGAGGAATTTATGGTTGAAACCGATGTGTCGGGAGTGAGCATTGGGGCGGTGTTAATGCAACAAGGCCACCCTATAGCCTATATCGATACGGTACTTTCTCCAAAACATCGAGCTTTATTTATTTATGAGAAAGAGCTTTTTGCCATATTATTTGCAATAAAAAAATGGCATCGATACTTGGTAGTTAAACATTTTGTTATAATGACAAATCACCAAAACCTCAAACATTTGTTAAAAAAAGACTTCATACTACCTGGTTTGTAAAGTTAATGGGATGTTATTATGATATTATGTAAAAAAGGGGTAGAAAGAACAAGGTTACAAATGTATAATCTCAAATAACCGAGTCTTGAATTGTCCGTTATGGACATTTTTTCTATCTTAATTGATATATTACCTAGGGTGGTGTCTTCATGGTACCAAGACCCTTATTTAAAGACTCTCATTGATCAACTTAAGGTGGATGCTTCAGCTCATCCTAAATATACATGGGCTCATGACAGATTACTTAGAAAAGGTAAAATGATGGTGGAAGTCGATGAAGATCTCGAGACACGGTTGATCTTTTTGTTTCATGATACTACGTGGGGGGGGGGGGATTTGGTATTGAGGTTACTAAAAAGAAAGTAGTTTTTGTCTTCTATTGGAAGGGATTATCAAAATCGTCGGGAATTATGTTCGTAATTATCTAGTATGTCGGCATAGTAAATATGAGACCATTGCTAGTCTAAGTTTGTCGAATCCATTGCTAATTCCATAAGCAATTTTCACTGCTGTTACAGTGGATTTTGTTGATGGTTTACCAATTTCTCAAGGAAAGAGTGTGATAATGGTGGTGGTGGATCGTTTGACTAAATACAACCATTTTATTGCTCTTGCTCATCCATACACTCGCTTAATCTATTACTTAAGCATTCATGGATCATGTTTTCAAGTTGTATGGTTTACCTCTCAACATTGTCTCCGATAGAGATTCTATTTTTTTAAGCAAATTCTAGAGGGAATTATTTTCCTTACTAGGTGTTTCTCTACATTTTTCTATTGCTTATCATCCACAATTCGATGGCCGGTCGAAGTTGTCAACGGATGCCTACAAACTTACCTTTGTTGCATGACTTCTTCTATTCCTAAGAATTGGAGCAGGTTGTTGTCATTGACTGAATTTTGGTACAACACAAACTTTCCAAATATTATAAAAATCTCTCCTTTTGAAGCTTTATAATGTTATGCTCCTTCATTGCATGTTGTTCTGGACTTGCTCAAATTTCATCTTTAACAAGCTCGACAGAGTATGAAACACTTGGCTGACAAGCATTGCATTGATAGGGTGTTTCAATTGGGTGATTGGGTTTACTTAAAATTGCAAGCTCATCATTAGGGATCAATATCTCATCACAGTAATCACAAACTATCTACTCATTTTTATGGGCTTTCAAGATTGTTGACAAGTTGAGAGAGGCGGCCTATACATTGAATCTTCCTAGTTATGTGCAGATCCATCCCACTTTTCATGTATCTCAATTAAAACCAGTTCGTGGTATTCTCCCTATGCATGTCTCATTGCCAGCTACTTCTGATGTTACTCCATATCCATTGGCCATTTTGGACAAAAAGATGGTGAAGAGAGACAATGTTACAACCACGAAGCTTTTGGTTCATTAGTCCCATAGCTCTCCTACTGAAGCTAAGTGGGAGTTCGCTTTGATTTATAGCAAAAATAGCCAGATTTTAACCTCAAGGACAAGGTTTTTTAACTGGAGGGTATTCTTACAGAATAAGTTGAAAGTAGAGTGTCACATAATGAAGGAGAAGATAATGACTTGGAGTGTCACATAATGAAGGAAAAGATAATGACTTGGCAAGTTGTTAGATAATAAAGGGGAAGATGATGACATGCAAAAGAATGAAAAGAAATGGTGATGTGGAGACAAGAAGTTGGCAATGTCAGTGTAGCGACTGAAGGAGGCGGAGAAGAATCACCAAGCATCTAGCGTAACACAGAATCCGTTAGAAGGTTTGGTTAGTTGTTAGAGAATTAGTTACAGTGTAGTTAGGCTATTAAGAGAGTAGAGAGAGGAGGGAAGGAATAACTTGGATCAGTTATAAAACTTCCTCTTCTGTGATTTCTATTCTCTCTGTATTTCTTCTGATAATCCTTCTTTGTAAACAATTCTTGCTTTTGTATTGCTACTGCATATATTTTGCATTTACTTGAATAACACCATAATCTGTTCAATTTCTCTTGTGTCTTCTTGATTGGGATCTGTGAATTATATCAACGGTTGGCTCAATGAATAGTGAGATGGATGGTTGGTTGGATTTTTTTGCTATTAGCTTTTTAGTTTTTACATTTTTTGTTTTATTTTTGTTGTTATTTTTTTTTTTAACATCATATCTTCACGAAAAGCATTTCAGCTTTAATCTTGTTCTTAATTACTCATGAGTTGATCAAATTTTGTTGCGGTGTGTATTCTTTACTTCTGATGTCTTTTTTCCTTGTCCTCCCATTTTCTATGGACAGAACCCAATGTTCTAGCAGTTGTGATTTCGAATGCTATGGATACATCAATCTTAAGCTTTCATCTCCTTTTGTCATCAAGATACGATACTGTTTCATTACGTAATCAGTAGTTTTGACCTTCATTTACAGGTTAGAAACGGATTTATATGCCACAGGCTGTTACAGAGAATCTATGACAGAGCTCTTACAATTGGCCTCCAAGGTTATGCACAATCGTATGTAATCAAATCAAACAACAGCTCTTATTATTTATTCTGTAAAGTTCCCATAAAAATTTTCCACCTTTTCTTTCTGGTTGATCTTAGGATGAATTGAAATCTCTCTTATTTTATTTTATTTTTTCTAGTGGCTAGAATAAACCCCAACCCAGGACATGCTCATAAAGAACACGTAGGAGATACATCACCAAAGGCGAGGATCTAGATGAATGAACATTAAATTTAGGCTTCAAGTATTGGTAGTTATCTGTCCATTTCTTTTGTTTAACTAGATATGACTAGATTCCAAATGATCTGTGACATGCGCCTCTCTACACTCGTCTTGCTAATTGGGAAGGCATTAAAAAGGTTGGATTCTTCTCAAGTTCTTGATAATTTGCTTCAGTTCGTTATAATTTTGCATTCTTCATTGTAAATCAATATTTGTTATAATTTATAGCAAGATTCTAGCGAAAAATATAGAGGAAGCTATCTTCTTTTTGTGATCTTTTGTGTTTGTTTCATAAAGCCTTCGTATTAAATTTGACAATAAACTACATTTCAAAATATAATCATAAAATAATTTGATAAACGCAGTATGCTTTTCTGAAAAATAAAAAACAAAAACTAAAAATTAGTTTGATGAACTATCCAACATACAAAATACTATTTATCAAAACATAACTTAAATTTGATTCGAAAGAGTCAAAGTTCAGATTTAAATTTTGTTTTATATGCCGATCTTTAAGTTTAGGTTAAAGACCAAAGCTATTATACAAAAAGTTCTTGTTACTAATTAAATAACTATTAAATCAATAAGCAAAGATTATATGTGCATGCATGGTTGATTATGTGTGTTCCTACATCAAAAATAATAAATCTCTCCTTCTAATGCTTTCTGTTTTATTTTCATCTTGTTCTTTCAAAAGGCACATTGTATTAGGGATTATGACAACCATGCAACCTGCCATGTTGGCAAATTTGAGGTATTAATCACTAACATTTTCATCTCTCTTCTGGCTTGCTTGTCTTCTAAGCATCATATTCAGACTGTGGATAAGTGCTATAGGCTTTGTAGCAGCGCAACTTATGTTGGGAATGTATCCGTGCCACCACTCGATTTGCACTAGTGCTTTGGATGATCCAGTTCGAACTAGGGAAGCCATTCCCTGGGATGAATGCAGGTGGAGACATCTTCCATGATACTGAAACAACTTGTGTCTTTAAGCACCCACTTTTGGGTTATTCTGAGATTTGTTTTTTTTTTTTTTTTTTTTTGGCCATTTCATAGAGGAAACTCAAATATTGTGTTGGCTACACCACAACATGGAGAACATCTAGCATTCTTTGAAGGATTAACTACAGCTAGTTTTTGGTACTTGTTACCTTTCTTATAGTAGAACAGGAGGCTCTAATCTACCAACTTTCAGATGATGTTATGGCTGTAAATTTTTGGAGTAGTTCATGCTAAATATTCCTATACTATCTTGGAAATTGTCATTCTTTAGGTAGAGAGATGGATAGACCTTACAATTTAATTTGAGTAGTTGTGGTTTTTTCTTTCCTTTCCTTTAGTAGATCTCTCTCTCTCTCTCTCTCTCTCTCTCTCTCTCTTCTAATTCGCAGGTGGATAAGGGCTGTAAATGAATTTCTTGGTGTTCTACGCTCTAGTCAATACATGCATGTACAAAAGGTGCACTTTATGTTAATTACTCCTAATTTGCTCATCAAACTAATAGCAAATTATTATTAGATATGCTTTGGTGATTGTAAACTGTTGTTTTTGAGCCTGTCAAATTATGAAAGGATATAATCTTCAAGGTTATGTTAGACCAAGTTCTTGTTCTCTTATTTTCGTGCTATTCAACATACTAATGTTTTTGTTAGCTAATGGTTTTTGTTCAATTTATCTGCAGAAGCAGACTTCTGGGAAGGATTCCGTGCTGGACTCTTCAATTGATCAGTATCCACACTTACATGTTTATGTAGATGGATTAGTAACTACAGCGGGCAGTGAGGAAAAAGAGGTGGCATTGAAGGCATAAAAAACTACAAATGCTTCGTGAAGAAAAAAATAATGAAATGCTTTCAAATGCAGAACAAGATAAGTTGTTTAAATAAGGAAAGTCTGATTTCATGTCCAACATTGCTCAAATCTCAGAAAAAGCTATAAACATCCAAGATGCTAAATCTCCTGAAAAAGCTTCAAACATCCAGGACCAGGATGCCAAATCTCCTGATATAACTGTTCCTGTTAGAAGATTCCTAAATGAGATTTCACAACAAAAAAGCATATCAATGTGGTTCCTTGCTTTCATTGCCATCGAATCAAGTTGGCCACTAGTAAGATCAGCCTTTAATTTCATCTATAGAAAGAGGTCAAGAAAGATCATGCCTGCAGCTTAACAGGTAATTAGCTGCTAAAATGTTTGTCATTACCTGCCGACCTCGCTCTCCAGCAAAAACAAAATGGAAATTAAGACAAACTTATGTATAACAATCTGTGACCAATTGAGAAAACAATTAAGGAATAAATATTTGTTTAGTCTAATTAATTTATAATATTTAAATTTTAATAAAAAAATTAAATTTTTATAATATATAGTTTGTACTAATTATTAGTTACTACCGAGAATATCACAAATTTTAGAACTAAAAAAAAAAATATCAATTTTTTAAAAAATACTAAACTTAGCGACAGATTAGCATTGAAATTTTTTTAGATTTAGCAATGAAAATTGTGACGGAATAGCAACAACAAAATTAGGTTCGGATATTAACGACAAAACATTGATCGTTAATTAAAGATAGAATTAGTGATAGAATAGCAACACATTATTTAGAGGAAAGATGATGGCTTTGGTGACTAATTAGCGACAAAATATAAAGATTTAGCGATGAAAAAACGGTCACCAAATTAACGACGGATACTTGTTCGTCCGTCGCTAGGGTTAGCAACAAGCGTTTTAGCAATGGATTTTTTTCGGTCACAAATCCATCACTAAATGCTTTTATTGATGGATTTTTTCATTGCTAAATGGCAGTTTTCTTATAGTGATCCCTTTGTGTTGCTTAAAGAAGAAGTATCACGAAATGTTGGTGGTAGTGTTAGTGAAAGGTCTACAATTGATGGGTTGGGGATAGGTGTCGTTACCCAACATTTATCAATTTTAAAACTTAGCGACGGATTAGCATTGAAATTTTTTTACATTTAGCAATGAAAATTGTGACGAATAGCAACAACAAAATTAGGTTCGGATATTAATGACAAAATATTGATCGTTAATTAAAGACGATTTAGTGACGAATAGCAACACATTATTTAGAGGAAAGATGATGGCTTTGGTGACTAATTGGCGATGAAATATAAAGATTTAGCGATGAAAAAACGATCACCAAATTAACGACGGATACTCGTTCGTCCGTCGCTAGGGTTAGCAACAAGCGTTTTAGCAATGGATTTTTTTTCGTCACAAATCCATCACTAAATGCTTTTATCTATGGATTTTTTCATTGCTAAATGGCGAGTTTTCTTATAGTGATCCCTCCGTGTTGCTTAAAGAAGAAGTATCACGAAATGGTGGTGGTGGCGTTAGTGAAAGGTCTACAATTGATGTGTTGGGGATAGGTGTCGCTACCCAACATTTATCAATTTTTAAAAAATACTAAACTTAGTGACGGATTAGCATTGAAATTGTTTTACATTTAACAATGAAAATTGTGACAAAATAGCAACAACAAAATTAGGTTCGGATATTAACGACAAAACATTGATCGTTAATTAAAGACATATTTAATGACGAGAATAACAACACATTATTTAGAGGAAAGATGATGGCTTTGGTGACTAATTAGCGACGAAATATAAAGATTTAGCGATGAAAAAACGATCATCAAATTAACGACGGATACTTGTTTGTTTGTCACTAGGGTTAGCAACAAGCATTTTAGCAATGGATTTTATTCGATCACAAATCCATCACTAAATGCTTTTATCGATGGATTTTTTCATTGCTAAATGTTAGCTTTCTTATAGTGATCCCTCTGTGTTGTTTAAAGAAGAAGTATCACGAAATGTTGGTGGTGGTGTTAGTGAAAGGTCTACAATTGATGGGTTGGGGATAGGTGTTGCTACCCAACATTTATCAATTTTAAAAAAATACTAAACTTAGCGATGGATTAGCATTGAAATTTTTTTACATTTAGCAATGAAAATTGTGACAGAATAGCAACAACAAAATTAGGTTCGGATATTAACGACAAAACATTGATCGTTAATTAAAGACAGATTTAGTGATAGAATAGCAACACATTATTTAGAGGAAAGATGATGGCTTTGGTGACTAATTAGCGACAAAATATAAAGATTTAACGATAAAAAAATGATCACCAAATTAACGACGGATATCGTTCGTCCGTCGCTAGGGTTAGCAACAAGCGTTTTTAGCAATGGATTTTTTCGATCACAAATCCATCACTAAATACTTTTATCGATGGATTTTTTCATTGCTAAATGGCAGTTTTCTTATAGTGATCCCTCTATGTTGCTTAAAGAAGAAGTATCACGAAATGGTGGTGGTGGTGTTAGTGAAAGGTCTACAATTGATGGGTTGGGGATTGGTGTCGTTACCCAACATTTATCAATTTTAAAAAAATACTAAACTTAGCGACGGATTAGCATTGAAATTTTTTTAGATTTAGCAATGAAAATTGTGACGGAATAGCAACAACAAAATTAGGTTCGGATATTAACGACAAAACATTGTTCGTTAATTAAAGACAGATTTAGTGACGAATAGCAACACATTATTTAGAGGAAAGATGATGGCTTTGGTGACTAATTAGCGACGAAATATAAAGATTTAGCAATGAAAAAATGGTCACCAAATTAACGACGGATACTATTCATCCGTCGCTAGGGTTAGCAACAAGCATTTTAGCAATGGATTTTTTCGATCACAAATCCATCACTAAATGCTTTTATCGATGGATTTTTTTATTGCTAAATGGTAGTTTTCTTATAGTGATCCCTTTGTGTTGCTTAAAGAAGAAGTATCACGAAATGGTGGTGGTGGTGTTAGTGAAAGGTCTATAATTGATGGGTTGGGGATAGGTGTCACCACCTAACATTCGTGAGACTTTCGAAAATTAATATTTATGATTTATTTTGTTAAAATTTTTTATTTCTTTAGTGATATAAGTTATTATTAATTTTAAAGTCAGCAACTATTTAAGAAAACTAAAAACCTAAAATGGACATTGATTCAAAGATTCTAAGATAAGGGGTTAGTTATGTCTTTAAAAAGATATCAATCACTCAAAAGCACCATTTTCCTAAGAAAAGTACCAAATCTAGCTTAATCATAAAGTTTATCTCATAAAAATTTCTATTTGTGTCAAGATTAATCGAATTCAAAATTGCAAATTCTATTTCCAATGTCAAATTAAGTTTTTTATTTTTTTATTTTTTTTGTCGCATCATGTTAAACCAATTGTTAGACCCCTCCATCGGGTGTCTCGTTAATTCAACATCGGATCTAATTTAAGTCTCGACATAATCAATATATCATAGAACGAACTAATTATTAAAATGATTGATTTAGGTTAACATCGGTCTCTATTAGATAGGAGACTTTGTTAATTTTTCCAATTGTTTTCTATGTTTACGCTTTTCTTTTTCTTTTATTATTTTCCTAGCACCTTCTCTCTTTTTTTTTTCTTTTCTTTTCTCTAGCATTTATTCTTTTTTTTTTTCTTAGCATTTTCTCTTTTTTTTTCTTTTTTCTTACATTTTTCCTAGCACTTCTTTTTTCCTTTTTTGTTCATTTTTTTGTTTATTGGTGGAGAATCGTTATTAGTCCCTAAAAATTAAAAAAACTTGCTAATTCATCCACCAATTAATTATCTAACTCAATTATTGAAACACATCCTAAAATTAAGCATTGACTAAATAAATTCAAAAAATTCAAAATACTAAATGTAAATAATGCATAAAAAAAAACATGCATATATAATCTAAGTTTTCTAACACAAATAAAATTACCATTAGTACAAAATAACTTCATAAAGTAATTAAAAAATAAATAGGTAAGAGAAACAAGCTAAATAGTCATTAAAGAGTGACCAAAATGCACATGCATGTCAAAATTATGAAATTACCCTTCAAAAGATGAACAACCACTGCTGATCGCCCGATCACCGTTTGATGGTCCTTCGAGAGCGTGAATTAGCTTGTGTTGTACAAAAGGTCATTGCAAACTCATGCTTCGATGATAGTCATTGCGACGTTAGAGGTGGGAGATCGACGACTATAAATTTCAACCGAACCTCTTTCTCTTCTCGATGAAGATTCTAGTAATGATAGAAGAGTTTGAGGGCACCAATCAACTTGTGAGCCCGAGATGAGTGTTTTTGTGGTGGTTAAAAGGTCCGATTTGGCTTTGATCGGTCAATTTTTTTGGATTGCTCAAAATGGATTAAAAATGAGTCATCATCAATTAGAGTGCTTTTAGTGGTTTTTGGCTACAATTTCAAATGAGAACTACTTAGAGGAGAAGACAACCAAGTCTATCATGACGGCAGTCTATGGTTTAGTCGAAATCAAAAGATATGATCTGGGTTGCCAAATGGGTCGAGTCGCGGTGGTTCAAACTTAAATTTCTTCCTCCTCGACGGTGGGGATGGGTCAATCTCAAGATGGGCTATCCATGGTTGGTGGCTATTGGAGTCAAAATCGACAAGATTGTAGCTAATTAAAGAGAGGAAATCTCGATCGAGGAAGCGAGTAAACAAGTCCGATGCTTGGATAAGGACGTGTTTGGCTTACTCATAAAAAACAAAAACAAAAACAAAATTACAAGGCCATAATAATTAAAAAAAATAAACATGGGCCTCAAGCCCATATCACCTCGTCATGCCATTTTAAAATATAAAATTGGGTCCTAAGCCAAATTAAGCTAAATCTATGAGAAGAAGAAATTAGAAGGACCATAAAAATAAATTAAAATTAACTATAAACAATAGCCATAAAAATAAAAGTTAAAATGAAATAACAAGAAAAGACTCGTGATTAGAAATAAATTGGTCTCAAGTCATAAACCTACTCCATCTAGATTGATTTAGATTGACATCATATAAAATAAACATACGAGTGCAAGACACTAAAACATGTAATAAAAAAAAATCACACATCACGTAGAAACAACTTTACGAAAATAAGAATAGTCAATAGGCCTCCATAAAGTCCTTGACCTATGAATTCAAATTTGGCTTAATTTATTTTTTTAAAAAATTACTAATCTATTGCTAGCTTCATCATTGATTGGTAGTTCCTTAGGGACTTTTTATATTGAAAATAATATACAATATATCACCCTTAAACATCTTATTTTTTTGAAATAATAACAATAAGTATATAAAAAATAGATAAAATAAGACGAGACCTTAAAAATTAATAAATACTTCCTACCCTAATAAAATCACACATACTCATCAAAAAATTTGAATTGAAATCATTTTAAATCTATCAAATAACATCAATAACTCTCAATTCAAATCTTTTCAATTAAGCTCAAATTAAATAATTTTAATTCAATTAATCATATCAATCCTATGTTAATGACATAATTTATATTACAAAATATAAATCAATAATATAATTAGGCAATCCATAAAAATTCGGACGGAAATTAAACAAAAAAATGTTGAAATGTAGGTCCATAATCACTTAATTAGAAGTTCGGAGACTAAATTAAACATAAGAAAAACAAGAAAAAGAGAGACAGATTTGACATGTGTGGCTCGTGTTCCGGTAGGAATGGCAATGGGTCGGGGTAGGGATGGCCATCCCCAACCCGCCTCCGAAAATTTTGCCCTATCCCCGCCACGTGCCCCGCATGGGTAATATTTCTCATACCAATCCCATCCCAAATGGGGATGGGGATCCCCATGGGGCATCGGTTCCCCATCTAATTCTTTGTGTTTGCCCCGACCTACCTTGTCCCTCCCCATTCTACTAATAAATTTCAAAATATAGCAAAAAAATGATAATTCATATAAAAAAATAATTAAGAAAAACAATCATTTAGCATCATATTTAACTATAAGTTTATAGCATAACTCATAATATATTAAATTATTTTCAATTGAATAAATAACATACTTAATTAAATTGATAAAATATCACAACTCGTCAATATCATAAGTACAATTAAGAAAAAACAAATCCTTGTATGTCTTTACGACGTAAAGATCATCAAAGCTCACTCGTTATATTGGACTTCAACGTAATCATCGATTACCGTAAATCCTACATTCATTAAAATTAAAAGTGAATTAGTCATCATAAAATTTTTTTATGCTATCATTTAAACTTTGACATATTATTTTATGCCTTCATCTTTTTTGGATACTCCTTATACATAGTACAATAACCATCCGAAACAAATGAAGCTCCACCTAGAAACAAATATAATAAACATAAATAAGATATGTAAAATTTTTAAGAAATTAATTTTAAAAAATTAGATTTATATGTAGAGTTTTAGTACGTTATTTTTATTTTCAACTATCCACAACTAATTTGAGCACACATTAATGCTTCCACTTGTCTTTGGATTAAGTTTACTTTGATGTGGACTTATTAGTCGCCACCAGCACTAAAAGCTAATTTTTGAAGTAACGAATGACATAGGGATTGCCAACACATCCTTAGCAATTGTTATCAAAGTAGGGTACTTCAACCTATTTACTTTTCACCTTACTAGAATATCAAAATCTTTGGTTCTTAGAATAATACCCTCATCTAAGTTATAGTCTAGCTCTGTCTTGACGAAGTAACCTTGGCCTTTTTCCTTGAAACATACAAGTCAAACTCGGATTCCATATTCTCATAAATTGTTGAAGGATTAGCCACAACAAAGCTACAACATACTCTATCCACATTCATATTTTTTTGGTACTCGGCTAGCAAGCCATAGCAAAGCTTCCTTATATTCTCAATCCGAACCATAGCTTCACTCTCATAAACTTTCTCAAAATACAACTCCAATGAATCCATTTTTTACCTAGGATCTAAAGCTGCAGACTACTCCCATTATTTCATGAATCACACTTCAATACTTATTGAACTTGACTAACATACTTTCTGCCATTTTACTAACCATTTGATTAGGACAAATGAGCCATTGAGTCAATGTAAACTTAATTTAACAAATTTTAGTGAAAAACAAATTAGCCAGTGGGGCATCGAGTTCCTAAAAATAATTCAAAAATACTATAAAAGATATTTAATCTCCTACACATTTCTTTTACAAATTTCCAATCATTATCGGTAGGCATAACTTTATAATTAGGTTCTCGATGCTTCAATCTAGAAAAACAATTCTTATATAACAAAGCAATTTCAAGCATCAAATAAGTAGAATTCCATTTAATTGGAAATCTAAAGCCATTTCTTCATGATAGGAATGAGAAGGAATTTAGCAAGCATCCTTAAACTTTTTAACTCTTTAAGAAGTTGTTGTCTAAAATGCTACACTATCTTTAATTTGCTCAACCCCTTCCTTAATGACATCCAACCCATCTTTCACTATTAAGTTGATGATACGAGCACAACATCGTAGATGCAATAAAAAACTAAAATTTAACAAATCTATAGATTGTAGCTTATCCCTCACATACTCAATCATATAATCATTGTTGGAACAATTATCCAATGTAATAATGGATAATTTTCCTTCAACATTCCAATCTATCAAAAAATCAATTAAAGTAGTTGTGAGGACAATGCTTGTATGTGGATAAATAACATGCATAAACCTAAAGCAAGATATAAATTAGTTATAAACTAAAAATATTAAACTAAAAAAATTAAAAAAAGTATGATTAAGTTAACACGAAATGAAGAGTACCTCAATAGATAGCTTCGTAATGTCTAAGAACTATTAATGTAGTGAGTCGTAATAGGCATGAATTCTTTTTTTTTATTGCTTGTTGTCCACAAATCAGTAGTGATGATAATTCTACTTTCAAGTTTTTTTGAAAACTCTCATCATTTTGGCTCTATCATTATCATATATCTTGAAGGCATCATTTTTATTGTATTTTTATTTGGACACCTAAACGAT